AGGGTTTCCAGGAGATCGGGCGTAGGATTTAGGTCTTGGGTCAAGGAGAGGGGCTTAGGAGTTAGGGCCTTGGGTTGTCGGACTTTTGGCCTCAGGTACAAGAGGGCTTTAATATAGCTACAATGTGTCGGAGTAGACGAGGGTATATTTTCATAAGGGACCCCCAAAGCCCTAAGGAATAACAGTGTCATTATCTAGGCCCCTACGGTACCAGCCAAGAAGTGTCCGGCCCGATAGTCGTTCGAGATAGATTTGTCTTACCTCCGAAGCCTGTATCCAGAAATCAAGCTGCAAGCATGGTCTTATCTACTCAAAGCCACTAAGGAACCTTTATATCATAAGAACCCCTTTAAAGCCCTTATAAGAGCCTATCTACGCACCCTCTTATAGAACCCTTGTGAGAAGCCTTTTTTAAAGACCCCGAAGCACGTGGCGCCGGCAAAAAACAAGCTTGATGCCCAAGCCAGACGGGCAGAAGTTTCGGCCGTGTACCGGTACTTTTGCTGTAGGGTTTTGGGTTTAGGGTTTTGGGTTTTGGGTTTAGGGTTCAGGGGTTGAGGGTTTAGGGTTGCGAGTCTAGGGGTTTAGGGCTTAGGGTGTAGGGGTTTGCACCATGAACAGTATCTTGCTGCCGTTGTTCCGTGCTGCACGCAAGTCCGGGAGCACTCCAAACAAGGCCACGAATAGCATCCAAATGGAGGATTCGTTGCCCATTCTGCGTGCCGGCCCTGTTAAGCCCTGAAGCCTATAGTGCATTGGATGCCAAGGACCCCGCCCTAGATCCTGGAACAGCCCCTCTCCTGTCTCCTGGCATCCAGAACCGTGAGGGCTTAAGCCCTAAGAATGAAAGCCCCGAAAGCCAGGTTCTTCACGCCAGAACATCACGGCAAAATGCGGAAACCAAGACTTGCATCCAGAACATGGACCTCAAAGCCCAAAAAAACCCTTGCTGAATCTTAAAGAGAGCCTAGATGATCCCGAAATGCCCAAACCCAATCATCCCCGAATCCCGACCCTTTCCCCCTAACTCTAAACCCTCAACCAAAACCTCAAAAACCCTAATGCAGGGGCTTAATAATCAGAATAGGGTTTTCGGGGCTCCTTACTATAATTATAGTAGAATCTACC